TCCACTGTAGGATGCTTAGCAGCAACCCTGGTTTCTATTCACAGGACGCCATTAGCATACCTACCTCCAGACTATTACAACCAAAGATGTCCCCAGGCTTTGTCAAATGGCTTGGGAGTAGGGACATCCACACTGGCTGACATGCACTATCATAAGCTAAAAGAGTATAGCGATGAGTGTTGGGGACATGGCTCAGCAGTGCATCCAGAATCCTAGAAATTCATGCAAAGGCCAGGCCTGCCTGTGATTCTAGCCTCAGAAGGCAGAAACAAGGGATCGCCAGAGTAAGCTGGCTAGCAGAATAATCCATCTCGGCAAGTTCTGGGTTTAACTAAGAGCCCCTGCCTCAATGAATAAGGAGGATGAACAATGGAGGATGCATCCAGACATCAACCTTAGACCTCCATGTGTACATTCACACATGTGCATCCACACCCACCCACATATGTACTTATACATATGCGAAAATGCATACACACACACAAAGCAAAATCAAAAAGCATGACTATAGGATTTCAGATTTGCAGCATCTGAATTGTCAGGTCCATTGGTGCAGCTAAGGATAAAAGTGCGTCGACACCATGAGATGTGAGCAGTGGCCAGTCAGACATTGCTTTTCTTCATTGGCCTTTAGCAAAGGGTTATCCTTTGAACCAAATAAGCCCTTCCCGATGTACAGACAACTCAAGGTGCAAAGAACCTTCAAGAAGACACTGGGTGTCCTGCAGAAAGGGCAAGCAGGTCTTCAAGCTACCGGTGGGAAAATGAAAGTTGTGTTCGGATCCATGCACTGAGCCAGTGCCAATGAGATATATATAAAGGAAATAGCTGCGGAGAACGTTTGTAAAACTGTAGGAAATGAACCTTCTCAATTAGAAAAACATTAAATCCAGCACTCACACTTGAGCAGCAGTTTCTCCCCTTATTTCAAGTCACAGCCCGAGTGTCTAAAAAGGAACAAATCTACAGGGTTTTTATTCTCAGTGGTTCTGACAGTTCTCTGGGGAAGAGAGAATGTTGTAAAATGAAGCAAATGACTGGAAAGCCTTGTAATTCAAAACAGGTTGAGAATCGCAGCGCTGCGGAAGGAAAATTAAATGCTTTGCTATCTACACAATAAAAACAGGCCACACAGCCGATAGATCTGCGTCAGTAAGTGCTTCTCTCCATTGACTGTAGAAACAAGAGGTTCCAACTTGCTGGCATATGAGCTATATTTCAGGGGAAGAACTATAAACTTCAGTAAATTGGAAAACATAAACTCAAAGCTGAAGAACACAGTTTCACAAAATTTATGACCCCAGGGTGAGTCTTCGGCTTTCAACTTGTGCCCCATCTTAGTAAGATGTTTTCCACTGTGATGCATTCATCGCTCATGGGAATAAATGAGCTGCAAACATCAGTATTGTAAAGTTCAAAGGCCTGCGTGCAAACGACACCACTATCTAAAGATGAAATTGTGTTGCCCATGCCCAGGTGAGGAAAGCATATCTGAGCCTATAGTGCTCTAAATAAGGCCACAATGCAACTGGGAAAGCAAAGAGAAGAAAGCAGAAAAGTCTCAGTGTCTCCTGCAGATCAGGCTGGACTCAAACATCCTGAGTGCCACCATGCCTGGTTTTATTCTGTGATGGTTGGCTTTAATTGTCAACTTGACACAACCTAGAATTACTTGAGAAGTGAGTCTCAGTGAGGAACTTTCTAGTTTGGGTTTGTCTGTGGGCATGTCTGTGGGGGATTGCCTCAATTGAATTCACTCATGTGGGAAGACCTGGTCCACCATGGGCAGTATCATTCTCTAGGCAGGTGTTCCTTAAGGGTTAACAAGCAAATCAATCAAGCTGAGCACAAGCAACTGAGCATGCATATGTTCATGTCTCTCTGCCTTTGGCTGTAGATGTGATATGACCAGCTGTTTTAAGTTCTTGTGTCCTTGGTTTCCCTGAAATGATGGACTGTAACCTGGAATTGTAATGTGAATATATTCTCCCCTAAGCTGTTTTTGTCAGGGTATTTTATCACAGAAACTAGAAACAAAACTAGGACATATGCAGTGCTGAGGTTTGAAAATGGATTTTGTACATGATCAGCAGACACTCCCCCAACTGAGCTACATCCCCAGCCCTACAGTTTCCTAATGTTTGTTTGAACAAAGAGTTCTATTCCCCTAAGGCAGTGGTTCTTGGCCTTCCTAATGCTGTGACCCTTTAATACAGTTCCTCCTGTTGTGGTGACCCACAACCATAAAACTATTTTCATTGCTACTTTATAACTGTAATTTTGATACTGTTATGAATTATAATATAAATATCCAATATGCAGGATATCTGGTATGCAATCCCTGTGAAAGGTCTCTCAACCCCCAAAGGGGTCTCTACTCACAAGTTGAGAACCACTATCCTGAAAACTTTTCAGAAGCACAGGGCTTCAAGGGGCATTATCTTTGGAGAAATCAAATGCATTTTCCAATTTATTCAGACCCTTAGCACATAAATGCCCAAGTCTTCCTGCAGCTTTGCCCCCACCTCCTCCCTTTCCAGTTCCTTGGCATCTGCTGGGGCTGCTGTAACAAACTGTCACACACCAGGTGGTTTGATACAGCAGGCAACTCCTTGTCTCATAGTTCTATAGACAGGTCCCAAATCAGGTACTGACTAGGTTAGTTCCTTCTGATAGCAGAAGGAGAATCTGTTCAATGCTGATGGAGTAGCTTTTGGCAGCCCCAGGGTGAGCACCTTGTGTTTTCTCATTCACTTCCTGCTACAAATGTCTATCTCTGTATTTCCTTTTATGGGGACACATTTGTCATGAATTAAGTTCCACCCTAATGACCCACTTGTACTCCTTTACCTTTGTGTCTTAGTGAGGATTAGTATTGCTGGGATGAAACATCATGACCAAAGCAACTTGGGGAGGAAAAGGTTTATTCAGCCTGCACTTATCACTGTTCATCATTGAAGGAAGTCAGGACAGGAACTCAAACAAGGCAGGAACCTGGAGGAAGGAGCTAATGCAGAGGCCATGAAGGAGTGCTGCCTACTGGCTTGCTCTTCATGGCTTACTCTGACTTCTTTCTTATAGAACCCAGGACCACCAGCCCAGGGATTAGCATCACCCACAACAGGCTGTACCCTCCCCCATCAATCAATAATTAAGAAAATGCCCTACATGCTTGCCTACAGCCTGATCTTATAGAGGCATTTTCTCAATTGAGGTTCCATCCTCTCTGAAGACTCTAGCTGGTGTCATGTTGACATAAAACTAGCCAACACACTCCATAAGGACCCTATCTCTAAATAATGTCAGATTCTGTGGTACCGGGATTGAAGATATCAATATAACATGGTGGGGGGTATGTCACTTCCTCAGTCTCATACCTACCTGCTCCCGATCACACACACCACACAAACATGCTGAGTCATATGTACACTGCATACACATATGTTAAAAAGTGAACACTGCATTCACTAGTATGGTGAGACATGCAGACATAGACATGGCTGTCGTGTAGAAAGGTTATTTTCACAGACCCCTCAAAGCCAGAAACATGTCTTATAATTGTACAGCAGAATACCATAATGGATATGCTTGTTTCTTGGGTGGGAAAATGGCTTAATCCATACAAATGCTGCTCTGGATGAATACCTGACTTCAGGTCCCCAGCATCCACATAAAAAGCCAAGTGGCTGGAGGCATTTATAATCTCAGGACTGGGAAGGCAAAGACAGGCTGATCCCTGAAGCTCATTGGCCAGCAGGCTAGCCAATCAGTGAGCTCCAGGTTCCACAGAGACTCTTTCCTGGGACTTTTTCCCCCTGGAAGGAAGGCTGAGGCAAGGTGAGTATGCGGGTGGGTTTAGAATCAGAAAATAACTGGAATTATTTCAGTGTGTTCTGGATCACAGAGGTGCTCCCTAGCCATCAGGCTCCAGAGTGACTTAGGGAGGGAGACGTTGCTTGGTGGATGAGTTTGAAAGAGGTAGTTGGAGATGCCAGCTTGGGGTCAGTTGGCATGTATCAACGGTGAATGTGTACATCTCAGAGGAGCCATTTGCTGCCCGTAGGACTTAGCTAGCATCAGAGAACTATCTAAGGTCCAAGAGGTGAAGGTGAGAGGTTCAGGAACACAGAAAGCAGGCACTGGGGGATAGTTCCATTGGCAAAGGGGCTTGTCAGGTAAGCATAAGAACCTGACTTTGAAGGTAACTGAAGCTCAGTATGGTAGCCCATGTTTGTTCTGTCAGCGTTGGGGGAGCTAAAACAAGCAGGTAGCTGGAGCTGGCTGGCCAGACAGCCTAGCCTAATCACCAAAGGCCAGCTTCCAGTGAGAGACCTGCTCTAAGAAAGAAAATGGCAGGCTTCTGAGGAACAACATCTGAGGTTAGGAGGCCTTGCTCTGTGGCATTCCTTGATCTGTGTCTGTCCTTGCTCTGTGGAGACCCTCTGTCTGCTCATTGCCCTTCTGTCTACTTTGCCTTTTCTCCTATTTGCTTTTTTGTTTGTTTGTTCGTTTTTGTTTTTGAGACATTATATTTGTATCCCTACTGGTCATATGTAGTGAGGATTCAGAGAACCAGCAGAGGTTAGGCCTGTGCATGCAAGCTTCCCTGCACAGCCAGCAAACATCCTGACATAACACATGCTGGAGCCCTGAGGCCTCCACAGAGACGTCCCTGCTGCTGGCTTAGACACCTCCTCCACGCAGCATGGACCGCCATGATTCTGAATCATTCTACTTGTGAACACTTTCTGTCCTCTACCCAAAATGCCATGCAGCCCAGTGACATGAGTCAGGGCGCCGTGCTGGGATCCTGTTTCCTCTCTGCCTAGCTTCCCAGTGGCTTCTCCTTTGTCTCTGTTCAGCAGGTTATTTCCCTCTGCTTGCCCAACAAACGCATATTCCAAGACTTAAAAGTAAACTGTCACTTTAAAAGAAAAAAAAAAGCCGCCTAGTGACCTTCCTTGGGAACCGGTTGCTAAGCTGGTGTTTTTGTCCTGAGACTGGCTGCAGCTTTGCAGGGAGCAGCCTCCCTTATCCCCAGCACACCCCTTCCCCCATGTCTAAGAGATTCTCTGGCTTGACCCAACTGGTCTCTCATCACATCCCTCCAATCCCAGAAAGTTGGAACCTGCAAACTGCGTTTTGTAAAGTGGATTAAGGTAAATCAGTTTTCAGCGGAACCGGGGCTGCTGTCCCTGTGTCCTGCTTTCATCTCCTTTCAGTTCCGGCTTGGAGGTCAGCCCCTCCCTGGGTGCCATGAGAGCGGATGGAATGCCTTGTAACTCTAGGGACTCTGGTAATTTTGCTTTCTGAATGGAAAGTAAGTAAGTAGGGGCGCTGCAGGAACAGCTTTGATTTCAGCGGCTGTCTGGTGTCGGGCTTGCAGGGGAAACGCCAGCTAGTGCCGTCCTCTCTGGCCAGTGCTGCTAAACACTGGCTGCATGTGGCTTTCAGGCCTTTAGTTTAAACTGTTCCAGGGGTGGGGATGAGGAGTACTCAGTGTTGCAAACTTCATTTTTCTTGGTATTAGACAAAGATCTCTGAACCACGGGGCTGAGGGCTGCCAAGCTCCAAAGAAAATCTACCAGGCTGTCAGTTAAAGTGACTGCTTTCTTCTTTGCAAAGAGGTGCTATGAAAAGCTAATAAAATCTAATAGGAAATACATGCCTGCTATTGCATTTTCTATAAATGTTTCTGCAAATTAGTGTAATGCCAGTATAATATGCAGAGAGAAGGGAGGACTGTATATGGATAGAGGAGATGTGTGTATATATGTATACATACACACGTACATAGATATACATAGATTGATCTAGATACAGATATTTGACCTAGAGTTCATTTACAGATCTAGAGTTCATGTACAGAGTCATTCATTTGAGTTTTTATAGAGCATCAATAATGCAGCAGATGATGAATACAACTTTACATTATACAAAGATGACTTAGACCAGGTCCAATGCAGGGAGTTTACTGGGGAAGCAGATATGTGAACAGATAATGAGAGCACTGTCAGCTAGTGCCAAAAGAGACTTGTAAATTAGGGCCTAGAGCTCGATGAACAGCGGGATGGTTCCAGGGAGGAACTTCCAGAACTCCCATACCACCGGTTGGACCAATCCCATGGAGCACAGCCTGTGTACAGACCTGCACACTGCAGCAAACAGTGTCATATCCATCTGACTAAATGACTGCACACAGCCATGTCACTAACCTTGTGCTCTAGAAGCTGTGGCTGGAAGCATTTGTTGTCACGTCATTAATCATAAAAGAAGGCATCTGACAGCTCCTGCGACGCCCCAGCTTTTAATGGGAGGGGTGAGAAAAGCCCTTTGTCTCTGAAGAGAGAAAGTGAACATGGGTAGGAGGGCAGGAGGTTCCAGAAACACTTTAGATAGTCAGAGAAAAGCCTGGCTGGAAGAAGGAGACTTGATTATCGCCACCACGGCTTAGAAAGTAAGGGGAGTGGGGCATCAATACCTGAAGACTTTTCTTATGATTCTCCTCTGTCCCCCAAGCTCTTTTGCCCCTCTCTAGCCCTTCCTCCCACTTTCCCTCTCAATCATGACCTCTTCTTATGACCATTCTGGTTTTAAAAAAGACATTCTAGAGCATTGGTTCTCAACCTGTGGGTCACGACCCCTTTTGAGAGTCAAATGACCCTTTTGTAGGGGTTGCCAAAGACCATTGGAAAACACAGATATTTACATTATGACTTGTAACTAACAAAATTACAGTTCTGAAGTGGCCACGAAAATGATTTCATGGTTGGGTGTCACCACAACCTGAGGAATTATATTAGAGGGCCGCAGCATTAGGAAGGCTGAGAACCACTGCTTCAAAGAGACATGGGTGCCTCTCTGTTCAGCTATCAGACTATTAAAACAATGGACTCTAGGAACTGGATTGCCTCCATGTCTCATGTTCTGGTACCAACCTTAGGGAGAATTTGTCTCCAAGAAAGCCAGTTCTGGCAGCTTGGCGGTCACCTTGTAGAAGATACTGTGGCGGAGACAATGATGTGTCAGTGATGGGCAGGACCACACACGACCAAGACTGCTTAGTGATGTATGTCTCCTGGCACCTTCTACTCAAACCTGAACTTCCTGCCAGGACCCTGGAAGATGGACTTTGGGGTCACTGGACACATTTGTTCCATTTCCTAATGCAGATTGAATAAATCTCCTTTCTCAGATCTTTAGTTAGCCTAGTGCAGGACTGGTGGACAAGCCTATCTTATTAGGGTTGCCAAGGCTCAGGTTTTGACCCTAACTCTGGCAGCGTTTTTAATAATAAAACCTACCAATATAGGGAGCCTGGTCTATGACAGGCATTTTATTATATTTTTTTTTTTAGTATGGAGCCCATAATAAACCATCACCCCTTGAGACAGGAAGTACAATTGTGACGTTACAGAATTGGCAATATTACTCCAAGATCACACAAGCTGGTGAGAAGAGGAAAATTGAACCTAGGTCTATACTATTTTTTTCACAAAGCCCTCACTCTTTAAAACCATAATTTCTTTGTGATAATCAATACACTATCCTTTGAGAGCAGCTATGATTGGGAGATGCCTCTTTCTCTCAATCCTCTGCATCCTGTAGGGTCATCACGGGGTCCTGGATGTGACTCTGATTGGCTGATTTTTAGAGACTGCAGTCAGATAACAGTGTGGGTACGTTCCTTTAAAAATGTGCTGGTTTTCTGTACTGTGTAAAATAGATTATTGACCTAGGGATGTCTATGCCCTTCCTCACTGCTATAGTATTTGTGGCTTTGCATTGTAAGTATTTTCACAATAAGGAACTAGTATACAATAGTGATGATTACCTTGTTCAGCAAGACTTAGCTCAAAGAGTGTGGTGCCTGGGACTGGGGAGAACTTGGAACCACCAAGTGCCAAGGTCAGACTGTGAATGTGAGATTTGAAAACTGTGACTTTGAGCACATCACATAACCTTTCAAATGTTAGTTTTCTTGAGTCTTAGTTGGCATATGTACTACTGAGAACTGTGGGAATGAGCAGAATGTATGTGTAGAGAATGCAAAGCTCTAGTTCCACAAACCAGGGCTCTTATTTTGATATTGTCATAGAATGTATTAACAAGTGGCCAAGGCAAATGCTGATGACAGGGGCTTATTAAAGCTGAGTCGTGTTTATTCATCTTTTCTGAGCAGCAGTGTTCATAAGAAAGATAAATTTTGGTGTCATTTGATTTCCTTCAAAACTCATTCGAAGGTAATGATCGGGAAAGAATGGGGAGAGAGAAAACAAGTCCATTACATTTGTCATTTTCCACTTCTACTTCTTTCTTCTGTATATGATTTTTTTCTTAATTTATGGAGAGTCTGTTTTCCGCTTACTAAAACGCTTCACATTCTTTATTTTCAGTTCCTAAGGACCGGGGGTGTCTGTCAGAACCATCACCAGCTGAGGCCCTCCTTGTATGTTTCCTGCCCCCCTCCAGTGCCCCCCACCCCTTTATCACTGGGTCTGCTTTTTTCATCTTTTCCCTTCCACTTGAGTCTTCTGAGGGGTCTGTATGGAAGACAATCGCCTTGCAGATCGTTTGTGTTTCATTACCGCACTAATTCCCTGGGAGGGTCGGAAAACCTTGAACAATGGGGTGAGCTGCTTACCTGGCCCAGTGCAGCTAAGATTTGCCTCCCACGGGATCAAGAAAGGCTTAAGATTTGTCAGCCCTGTGCCGAATATTTCTCCTCATCTTCTCTCATTTTATCTTCACAGCATCCTCGCGAAGCTTTGAAGGACTCCAGAATGTGCCCATGAAAATGGACCCAAACAGCAATTGAACCATTCCTTTGACAATACACATGCACTGTCTCCTGAGTGGCGTGTGCAGAGGCTGTGGGGATAACATCACACCAAGTGCAGTTCCTGCTCTCTTGAGAATCAGTTCTAACAGTGATGGGCAGACACTGATGTACAATTACAAAAGCAGATTGGTGGTAAGTATTATAGAAAAAGAAGTCACTGTAAGGTACTCTCAAAGTTCTTGGTGGGTTAATAACACAATGGGAAAGTTATTGTTTAAAGAACTCTTAGGAAAGAGCCCCCTGAAAGTGAACTGTTACCAGAGACCCAAAGGAACTGTGGAGAGAGGGGGGAGGAGAAGGAGAGAGAGAGAGAGAGACTGTCTGTCTGTGTCTACGAGTGTAGCTAGCTTCTGAAAGAAAGTCCTAGGTAGAGGAAACAGTGAGTGCAAAGGCCCTGAGGCAAGAAGGTCCAAGTGCAAAACCAGCCAAGGGAACTGTAAGGCTTGGACAGGATTTTGGATTTCACTCATTAGGCAAAGAAAAGTCATTGGAGGACTGTAGGTGATGGAATGTTATGATCCTACTTAATTTCCAACCATTCAGCCTGGCTTCCATGTAGAGACCACTGGAGATGAGCAGTGTGGAGAGCAGAAGAGTCAGGAGGTTCCCAGGGCAGTCCGCAGGAGAGACAGGAGAGAGATGATGGGACTTGACTTGACAGTGTTAGTAGCAGAGGTCTTAGGGGTATAGTCCCTGGTCACTACTAGAAGGCTGGCAGATTTCTGGGGGATGGGATGCTGAATTAGCCAGGGTTTCCCAGGATAGAGATCTACTGGGGAATTGTCTCCCCTGACTCTGGAGACTGTGAAGTCCACAATGAGCAGTCTGCAGGCTGGGGACCTTGCACGTTGATAGTATAGGACAGTCCAAGTCTAATAGCCCCTGACCCAGGGAAGCCAATGGTGTCATTCCAAGTTTAAGGCCAAAAGTCTGAGATGAGGGTGTGGGAGGGGGGTTGGGGACTGGTAAGAGTCCTGGTACCCTAAAACCAAAGGGCTTAGTTGTCAGAAGATGGAAGCATCCTGGCTCTTAGGAGTTGAGGGATAGGCTAATTCTCCTTTTGTATTTGTTTTTTTTTTTTGGGGGGGGGGGTCTTGGATAATTAGATGGTGCCTCTCATTTTGGAAATGGTTCTTCTCCCCAATCCATTCGGATTCAAACACCGATGTAACTTTAGAAATATGCTCCCAGACACACAGAACTGTCGTAGAATATTAGTTTAAGATGTGCTACATTCGTTTATGCTGTGGAATGTTTGTTTAATGATGCAAAGACATTTTGCATTCTTTTATGTTGCATTTGTTTAATTCTGTAAAGCTGTGTTACTTTGCCTGCCTAAAACACTTGATTGGTATACTAAAGACCTGAACAGTCAATAGCTAGGGAGGAGAGGGATAGGTGGGGCTGCCAGACAGAGAGAATAAATAGGAGGAGAAATCTAGGCTTAAAGAGTGAGGATTGAGAAAAGGATGAGAGGAGGATTCCAGGGGCCACCCACCCACCCAGACAGCTGGCCATGGAGTAAGAAGGAAAGAAAGATACATAGAATAAAGAAAGGTAACAATCCCAGAGGTAAAACATAGTTAAAGAGAAACAGGATAATTTAAGTTAGAAAAGCTGACTAGAAACAAGCCAAGCTAAGGCCAGGCATTCATAAGAATAAGTCTCTGTGTATTTATTTGGGAGCTGGGTTCCAGGTTTTTACGTGTCCCTTGATCTAGTCAAGTTGACATGTAAAGTTATGACAGGGATGCTGTATCATAGGAGAGTGAAAACAGCTAAGGATTACTGCCGGGGTAGAGTGGATTTGTTTTGTACAATGGGAAGGCCACAGCACAGGCTCATTAGCAAAGGCCAGGCTTCATTTAGGGCCAAGGGAGGTAACCAAGACACAATCACAAACTGGGTTCTAGCCTTCTGAGGAAGTGTCTGGGCTCAAGGTGTTGATGTGGGAAAGATCCGTGTATACATGGTACGTCAGGCCAAGAATTAAGACGAGACAGTAAGGGCAGCGAGAACGGGCAGAGCCAAAGCTCAGAGCACTCCAGCATTTGGTGCTGGGGAGATGAGAAACCGGCAGAGGTACCAGAAAAGGGCAGTCGGTGAGTGGCATGATGACCAGGAAGGGACCTGTTCCAGAAGCCAGGAAAGAAAGTGTTTTGACAACATCCTGAGGTTCAGTACTTGAGGAAGAGAACTGACCATCAGACACAGCAATGCAGGAGTCATTAACAGACCCCAGCAAGAGCCGGCACAAGGTGTATTAGACACTGCAAATGTACCCAACATAATAAACATTAAGAAAAGAGGGAGTGTTTCTGGGGTGTTACTAAAAAGGCTAAAAAAAAATAGAGCAATGCTACAAAGAGAGAAGTGAAATGAAGAAAAGGCATTTTTGTGTAAGGAAAAGACAGGTTATTTTTCAGTCTGGGAGGAATAAGCCTACAGAGCAGGAAGAAATGACTGTCCGGGCAGCAGGGTTGGGGTAGGAGATCATAAGATCCTAGTCCTGGGGAGGGAAGTGATGGGACCCAGTGACAGGCAAGGGATGGGCTAGGTGAAAGTGGAGACCACAGCACAGCAGCAAGTGGAAGCAGAGGAGTGCTGGGACCCAGGGGGGTTACGGAGGTGAGGGGATTTGGTGCCCTCTCCAGTCTCGTCTCTCTGCTCCTTGAAATGAGAAAGAGATTGAAAATTGAGACTTAGAGGGCAAAAAGAGAGGAAAGCCAGAAATGGTCCTTTGCAGCTGACTTCCAGCCAAGGCCCGTCTGCCCCCCAGCGTGTAGTGGGGCAGAGAACTAGCATCCCTCCTTCTTTTACTTCCCCCATTCCTGGGGTCTGCAATACTTGTGGTGGACAGCTCGATCATGTGGATAAGCTTCAGTCTGCCTGCACAGAGACACTGATGATTTCACTATGCCTGACCTCTTCCTTGTCCTTTCTCAGTCTGGAAACCATCACAGCCAAGATGAATCCCAAAGAAGAAAAAGTAAAAATAATTTCAGAGGTAAGTCACTGCTTGGCTTCCCCCTTGGAACCCTTTGTGGGTAAGGAAGTTCAGTCTGGCAATAAAAAGCATTTACTGCATGTGTTAAAAAGTGATGCTTCAGACAAATGAAATTCTGCAGAATCAGACAGTTCTGAGAACCAGAGGAGGTATGGGGAGCTGTGCTCGGCACAGTTGCTGGACCCATGGAATGGTGACAGAAGTTCTAGAGCGTTCAGGTAGAGGTGAGACCTCAGGGTGCCTGCAGGGTCGCATAGCCTTCATCAGAAGTGAGGTCCTAGAAAAGCTTGCTTGGCTGTGGCTCAGGGTTGCCTTGCTTGAACATGTCCAATCATTCTGCTGGTCTGTGATAGACTAGGAACAGCCACTCGGATTCTCCAAGACAGAACTATTTATTTAAAAAAAATACACCCCTAGGTAGATTTTAGTTCATTTGCATACTAAATTATCATTTGTTACATCTGCCAAGTACAGAGGCATCATTGGGCCAAACTTAATTGAACTGAACATATGCCAGAATACCCACTCCGGGTGTTCTTTATCTGCCTTTGTTGGGGAAGGAGGCAGATGATGAGGGTTGTGCAACCTTGCATAGCCTGGGTCTCACCTCTACCTGGATGTTCTGGAACTTTTGTCGCCATTTCTTGAATCCAGCACACAGCAGTTCTCACTGTAGGCTACTGGGCCCAGCTCAGAGAACTCCAATTCTAATAAATCTAACCACTTCTGACAATTGTAGGTTATGAACGAAACCCTGTCTCTACAGTCTGTCATTGCCTGCTGAACAAAAACTCAGACCAGGCAAGGGAAGCCACCTGCAGTGGAAACTGCAGCCCACTTAGCAGGGGCCAGATCTCCCCAAACCCTGACTCCCTTTGAATTAAGGCTCGTGGGGTTTCGAAAACAGAAAACAAAGCCTACGAGCACTTTTTAATTTATTTTTATTTTATGTGCATTGGTATTTTGCCTACATGCATGTCAGTGTGAGGGTATCAGATCCCCTGGAACTGGAGTTACAGACAGCTGTGAGCACAATGTGGGTGCTGGGTATTGAAGCTGGATCTCCTGTAAGCACAGCCAGTGCTCCTAACCATAGAGACATCTCTCCAGCCCCCTGAGGGCACCCTTAATAACATCACACAGATTAAGCAAATTGTCACGTGCTTGTGAGCCACACACACCTCTGTTGTTCATTCATTTAACAGTCTGAGGTGATATAGCAGTGACAAAATCCCTGTAGCTTCGAGCATCCCCATAACTCCTACTGGATGCTTTCCCAGTGACTGAGGATTAGGATACTACTAGAAAACAAAAGATAACCTAGATTTCTCAATGGTTTGTTCCAAGCCAAAGAAAACTAAAAGTTAGACTTTGAGCCACGCCTGCCCACCTGGACCTTATCATCCTCTTGGGGATTCTCTGAACTAAGAGCGGTCCTTCACTGGCAGGTCTGGGGAAAGGAGTGAGGATGAGGCCTCTACTCAGAACTCCAGATAGACAGAGATCATCACAAAACCAAAAGCCTGAGCCAAGCCCATTCTCTGGCTGGGATCTCAGCTCTGTCCCCTGGAACTGACCTCTGCATCTTCCCTGAGCCCAATAACCGAGGAGAAAGGGGAATAATAGTGGCATGGACCAGTCATCTGTATCAGGTTGCTATGAAACTTTACATCACAAACATCCAGGCTCTGCTTTCCAATTCTGCTTCAGTGGATTTGGTGAGACAATAAGAGCCTTGATGTTTCTCTTTGTCTGTTCATCTATTTTTGAGATTGCCTTACTTTGTAACTCAGGCTGGCCTCTAGCTTTCTGTATGGCCCAGGCTGTCCTGGTCTTCCTGCCTCAGTTCCCGAATTCAGGGATCTCAGGTGTTTACTACATATCCAGTCACTTTGCAGTTTCTTGTTCACTCAGAAGTTCTGATGCCAACATTTATAAAAGTGCATTACTAGGAAATGTTAAAGTTAGAGCACCTCAGAGATTTGAGCTCTAACCTCTTAGGTATAAAATATACAATGCATAATACAAAAAGAGAACATGACATTTACACTTTTCCCTTTCCAAAAAGATCTGCTAAAATTCCCCGCAAGTTGAAGCTCTGCTAATTTGACTTATAGTATTGTTCCTTTCTTCCTTACCTGGCTATCAGCCTGAGAAGCAGCAAATGAAACCTCAAACATGAGTTCGCTGTCTGTCCCTGCCTCTCCATCTGTCTTGGAAGTTTCACTTCATTGTCACCTTCCTTAGAATGAGAGTGGGGACCACACTGTATGTACACTATTGCCCTAAGACTTGGTACGCAGTAAGTGCTCAATAAATGTTGAGAGCATGAATGAGCATTTGCAACAATACCAATGGGAGCTTTAACCCCATTTCACTTACAATGTCTCAGTTAGAGTGAAAGTTCTCCAGAGCCTGCCTATTTTGAGAAGAGTGGCTGGTGGATGGCCACTTAGATTTTGTTAACTGTCCCTTTGCTCAATGCTGTGGTAGCAGGTGGTAGAGAGTAGCTGAGCACAGGGAGAAACTTAATACCTGAAGACTATCTTCTTTTCTTTGTGTTTTGACAAAGGAGTTCACTGGAGAGGATGTGGATGCAGAGGTGGGAAGACAGAAGAAGAATTCAAAGGTCCAAAGACAACAGAGAAAGAAAAAGGTAAGAAATGATGAGAAACTGTGTCTGCCCATGCAGAATATTATTGATACATATCACTGATGGGAAGCCTGCCTATACCTCTGGGAAGTCACACAGATCCCTCTGTGAATGTGATCTTCATTGTCAGCTTGACACTCAGGGGAAGAGGGAACCTCAACCAAGGAATTGGCCTGTGGGATGTGGGGGGGGCGTTTTCTTGATTAATAATTGATGTAGAACGGTCCGGCCCACTGTGGGCAGTGTCATCCCTAGGTAGGTAGGCCTGGGCTGTATAAGAAGTAGTAAATGAGCATGACCCTGGCAGCAATCCAATAAACAGTGTTCCTTCTCTGCTTCAGTTTCTGCCTTCGGGTTCCTGCATTAACTTCCTGCCCTGACTTCCCTTGGTGATGATCTGTTACCTGGAAGTTCAAACTCTTTCTTCCTCAAGTTGTTCTTGGTCACAGAAATAGAAACTTAACTAGAATGCCAACGCAGATAAAATCCCTCCCATGAGTAGCATCTCTTGACTTACTCCTGGAAACAGTGAGGCAGGGATGTAGGTGGATGGTATAATGTGTGAGATGCTGGTAGGGTGTATAGAGAGACATAGCACTCCAAATAAGGCTATGGCCCATATTAAGAGTTTTTGTCTTTTTTTTGTTTCTTTGTTTTGTTTTTGTATATGTGTTATGCTGTCTCTTCGGGCTCTAGGAAGGAGGAAAGCCCCTGATTTGAGTGCTGCCACTGATGGTCATAGACTATAATAGGCGGTAGATGGCAGTGCAGGATCACAAATCTTAAGAGACTCCCGCTTTCTCCTACTCCAAGTCCCAAATTCACAGTTAACTCCAGTCTCCCCAGCCTGCAGCCATTTCTCCCCCACCTCCTCCGCTGGAAGCATCCCTGCAAGGTAATTCAATTCCCTTAATTTGGAGCTGCTGTCCTGGAGAAGAAAGGCAAGAAAGGGACAGTTATAGACAAGAGACTTGCCTGGATTAATTGTTATGCCAGCCTGGGAGGGAGGGAAAGGGGAGCGCCATTTTGAGCTAGCAGTCACATGATGAGACTGCCGGGAGAGGGAGAGTAGACCTGGGTGGTGGAGAGGGCACTGAAAGAGTCAGGGACCAACCTTCCTGCTGGCTCCTGGGAACTCTGCCTGTTTCCACGAGGGAAAGCGGGCAAGACAAGCGCCTTCTACCTTCCCTACAGGCTGAATCCAGCCACAGGGGAAGGCTCGGGGGACTGAGGAGCTGCCAGAGCACAGGAGCCAACCACTCTCTGCCCACTCTAGACTAGGGACACCCACAGCCGCAGAGTGTCCTGAAGCTCTTAGGAGTTCAGCCTGTGTGTTGTTCTGCAGCCTGGCGGGGGGAGGGGGGGGCGGGACCGTGTGGTATCAGATAAAAAGTACTTTAGAATCACTCAGTGAGCAGAGAGTGACCAAAGATGAAGCTGCCTGGCATCTTCGGACTGAAAGGGAAAGCCACAGGCAATGCAGCAACTCTCGGTGGCTGTTTCCAAAGCCTGATTTCACAGGCATCCTTGTGTTCACTTAATCTGCTCTAGAGCCTTGATCCCAGCCACGGTTTTATTCAGATGCCCCATCCTTCTGAGTGATCTGTTTCCATCAGGATCTCTGTGCTGCAGTTCCCCTGTGCATAGCCATGGGTTTAGAGATAGGGCAGAGCTGTGGTTCCCAGTACCTAACAATGCTTGTACAGAGAAAGTAGGGATATGCTTGCCCAGGGCTCCTAGCCAGGCTGAGCTGGCTGTGGGCTTTAGTCCGCCTGGCACAGAGGCATCCTTACTAGCGCTGCTTCCTCAAGACTTGGAGGAAGATACCGCAGTCTATTCTCCGGGGCATCCCGTGTGGAAACAGTGTCAGCCCACGTTAGCCAGTGACACTTGAACAGGCCTTTCCTGTCTATTTGGGGTTGGAGGTGAAGTATTCTTTTGTGATCCCCTGCATAGCTTTAAGCTTTTTCTCCCTAGCAAATGTGAAAACTGTCATATTTTGGGGTGCCTTGACCACTATGATGGGAAGCCTCCTAGCAAGCACTCAGGCTGACTTCAGTGACCTGAGCAACAGAGTCACCGTGAACAGCATGCAAAGTACTAAGGCGCAGCCCTTCTACAGTGATCCCACCACGTCTTAAAAAAGGGGGCTGAACTAGTTGAGGTCCGGGCATCTCAGAAACCTCTCATCTATTCACAGCCACCTGCTACTCCCCCTGAGGAAATGGTGTCAAACAAATTCCAAGATGGTGGCCAGCAGGAGATGGTGGAAGAAGAGCCTGAGACCAACCTCCTGAGCTTGACAGCCCGGCGGGGACCCCGGAGTGAGTAACTTGCTTGCATTTGGCTGGTAGTTATTAACTGCCAACCACAAACCCAGTGTTGAGCAATATGGGGCTTGATTAGGAGTATTGTTTCTATGTTTGACCAGGGGTAAGGCTGTCTGAATAGGACAAAGCGAAAGGGAATGTAGTAATTCTCAGAGGCTGAGCTTGGGAGGCCCCTCTTTAAGGGGGCTCCACTCATTTCGCCACATCTCTGTGGCTCAATTTCTAGGGTAGCACAGACTAGAAGATAAGACACACAGTTAGGGGGCTTCGCTATATCCAGGAAAGGTCGACGGCAGTAACTGAAGTAGAAATAGCACAGATAATCCAATATGTCAGAATTCAAAGGAGAGTGACAGAGAGGAGACACACGTGTGAGTAGAGCAGAACAAGCATCAAACTGAAGAACAGAGGGGAGTTTTCAAGGCCACTCACCCTTCACAACACTTACAGTCATCCGCTGCACACTAACTTTCTACTTCCGGGAACTGTGGCAAGGAGGCTGGGGAGGTGGCTCAGTGGGAAAAGCACTTAGCCATACAAATGTGAAACCTCGAGTTCAAATCCCCAGAACCCATGTAAAAGCCAAGCATGGGAGGACATATCTGTAATCCCAACACTCCTAGATCAATACCTCCTATGAGTGGAGGTATCCCTCAAAGCTCACTGCTCAGCTAGCCTGGCACACAGATGTGCAAACAACAAAGATACCCTGTTTCAAACAAGGTAGAAGGTGAGGACAGACACCTGTAGTTTATGATGGGTTCACTGAGGCAAGCTCACACCTACACTCAGACACATAGATGTGCACACACATATGTAAATGTGATTTTTTTTTAAAGAGCCTTGGGCAGTCCTTGGACTTCACAACATTTGTCCTTGTCCATACAGTGAGCTTCTCTCACTGTGAGCCCACTGTGGGGAAAACCACTGCCCTTCACTGGAGACCTTTCTGGCAAAGTGGATTGGATAAGAAATGTGCACAGTCCTTATGCGCGTGCATGTGGCAGAGCTGGGGAGTGGAGTAACTATTAGACATCGGAGGCCTTTGGAAGCAGCCGACCTAAGTCCAACCCGATGAAAAGTGTGGCTCCAACAGCATGGAAGCAACATGCAATTAAAGCTGCCAGGAATCCCAGAAAAACAGACTAAGACTGACCCCCAAACAGCTGGTCTTTTTTCTACACACCTTTGTCTGCTTGGGCGGCCCTAACTAAATATCACAGATTGTGTGACTTAAAATTCAAAAGCATATTTTGCTCACTGACTGCAACACGGGGGTCCCTTATTACCGGATAGAGTTGCACAAGGGTGGTTGGTGGCTTCCGTGGCTTTGACTTAGCAACGGGGCAAGTGGGGCTGCCATGTTCAGAGGAAACGGGCAGCAGGAAGGACTTGTGTGAGGACCAGTAACCAGGAATAATGATGGAGAGTGTGAGCCGCTTCTTGGGTACCCGGGTGGACATGGATTTACAGACGTGGGAATCTGGTAGTTGGAGAGAGGGGCTGGGACTGGAGAAGGCTTCCTCAACCTTCCATCTAGAGCAGTTCTTTCTCCCCTCCACAATACGTACACACCTTTCAGTACACACCTCACCTCCCGAGGGATGCTGGGAAAAGACTGCTCTGTTAGGACAGAATCCCCCTCATAGCAGACTCTGCACTGTGTCCACTCCGTTGATTACGTCATCCTTCAGTGCACAGAAGTTTTTGAAGTTTGATGTAGCTCCTCTTATTGTTTTGCTGTTGACACCTGAATTTTTAAAGAGATTTTATTTATGTATGCAAGTTCTCTATTTATGTTAGATGAGAGTATCAGGTCCCCTCATAGATGGCTGTGAGCTACCATGTGGTCATTGGGAATTGAACTGAGGACATCTGGAAGAGCAGCCAGTGTTCTTAACTGCTGAGCCATCTCTCCAGCCCCCAACGCCTGTATTCTTAGTGTCATTCTCCAAGAAGTCGTGGCCCAATTCAATGTCATAAAGCGTTCCCCTTATCCATTTTGAGTTAAGTTTTGTTTATTGGGCAGAGATCCAATTTCGTCTTTAATTTATTAATTAGTTTAATTATTTACATTGTTGGGGGGTGCATTTTGTGCTTTGGTACACATATGGAGATCGAAGGACAACTGTGTGAATCAGTTCTCTCCCTCCACTCTAGTTCCCAGGGATAGAACTCAGGTTCTATCAGGCTTGATGGTAGGGGCCTTACCTGCTGAACCCATCAGCTTCCAGTATCTTTCTCTTGTCTTTGGACATGAGTTTTCCTAACTCCATATGTTGAATACAGTACTTTCCTATAGAATGGTCTTGGCATATCTGTTGAGGATCATCTGACCAGTTAGTCATGTATTTATTGCTGGGTTCTCTATTCTGCTCCATGGGTTTATATTTTGGTCTTTATGCTACTACCATGCAGTTTTGATGATGTTAGCTTTGGAGTGAGTTTTGAAATTAGAAAATGTGAAGCCTTTCAAAACTGCTTTAGCCATTCACAGTCCTCTGATATTCCTTAAGCACTTTAGCATAGACATTTCTATTTTTGCAAAACAAAAATCATTGTGGTTTTCACAAGAATCGTGGTAAATCTAGAGATGGTTTGGGTAGTATTGACATTTTAACAACACTGGGTCTTTAAATCCACAAGCATACAGTCCTTCCATTTATTTTTCACATCTTTACTTTCTTTCAGCAGAATTTTGGTTTTTGGGTGTGTAAGCCCTTTACTTCCTTCATTGACTTCCTCCTAAATGTATTACTTAGTTTTCGATGCTATTCTAAGTAGAATTGTTTTCTTAATTTCATTTTGAGTGGTTTGTTGTTGATATATGCAAATACAACTGATTTTTATGTGCTGGTTTTGTATCCTGCAACTTTTGCTGAATTTGTGAGTGACTCTAACAAGTCTTTTGTGGCATCATTAGAATTCCTTTATACCAAATCATGTAATCACTAAATAGAGATCGTTTGACTTTTAACATCCCAATCTGGGTGACTTTTCATTTCTTTTTCTTGCCTTGTTGCTTTGTGTACGAATCCCAGTATTACGTTGAAATAGCAAAAGCCAATATCTTTCTTTGGTCCTGATCTTAGAGGGGGAAAAAAAAAAAAAAACTTTGAGAATTGAATATGGTTGAGGTTGTTCCTTCACTTTCTAGGTTATGAACATTTTTATACTGAAGAAATATTAAATGTTGTCAATCATCTTTTCTGTTTCAGTTGGGATGATCATGTGGTTTGGGTCCTTATTCTGTGGTGTGTTATATCAGTTGCTTTTCATGTGTTGAACCCTCTTTGTATGACTCCTCCTGTCCCCTTTTTTAAATGTTATGGAGAAGTTGTATGTTTGCAATCTGAGCCTATGTGAAAGATTGTTAACTAGACCTAAAGCTAATGTTCCATAAATGAATTGTGAGGCTATTATTCATAACTACTTAACAAACATTATTTACTATATTTCATGGGTGAAACCTCCAATTTTGTGTTCTTTCCAGCCCTGAAATGAAGTTTCACATTCATGGATAATGCTGAGAAAGCTATGGAACTTTTTGGTTTATCTGAAGCTTTTACTCTGGACAGAAGAGCTATGAGTGTGTAGAGGAGCAGATATATCAGATATGTCTGAAAATGTTAAGAATCTAAGACTGAGTCAGGCGGTGGTGGCGCACGCCTTTAATACCAGCACTCGGGAGGCAGAGGCAGGCGGATCTCTGTGAGTTCGAGGCCAGCCTGGTCTCCAAAGTGAGTTCCAGGAAAGGCGCAAAGCTGCACAGAGAAACCCTGTCTCGAAAAAAAAAAAAAAAAAAAAAAAAAAAAAAAAAAAAAAAAAGAATCTAATACTGTTTGAGCTAGGCAATGATGTAGCAGGCACCATGATAAGGCCTTTACATATGCTGTATTATTTAATTTTCTAAGTAATCCTGTCCTCGGGCATTTTTTAGTAGATCAAGGTCTGGGGAGCGTTAACATGGAGGAGTGACGGAAGCAGGTCCCAGCTCTCATATGCTGACCTGTGTCCGTACTTGCTGCCTGTTGTATTGCTGTAGACCCACAGACTTAACCTGGGGTTATCTTTAGACTTAATAATTCAACCACATTCTATAAACCTAGCAGCAGTTGTGGACAGCCCATGGGGAACTCCTAAAAGGGGGCACAGAGCCAGTTAGAATCTTCATGGGACTGAAGCCAGCTGTTCCTGATCTTTTTCCAGAAAGAGTAACAATGTAGCATGAATATTAAAAGGTCTTATTAATAAAAAACAAACCTGGAGCCAGGTATTGGGTGAATGCTGGAAGATCAGAGACACAGAACACAAGCCATGGCTAACCTCACCTTGCCAATTCCTCAGCTGATCTCATTTCCTCAAACTGGAAGCCTCTGTGTCTTCATCTGAATGGATCTCAGCTGAACTGCTGCTCAAAAGCCTAAAAGCTTAACCAGGCTCTACTTCCTGGTTTTCACGCCTTATATACCTTTCTGCTTCCTGCCATCACTTCCTGGTATTAAAGACGTGTGTCACCATGCCTGGCTGTTTCCAGTGTGGCTTGGAACTCACAGAGATCCAGACGGATCTCTGCCTTCAGAATGCTAGGATTAAAGGCATGTGTGCTACCATTTTCTGACCTCTATATCTAGTGGCTGTTCTGTTCTCTGACCCCAGATAAGTTTATTAGGGTGTACAATATATAGGGGAACACAATATGACCACATAACAGAGTCCTCTCCTTACTTCCAAAAATAACTCATTTCCTATTGGATTGTTGTTGTTGATGATGATAGATTCTGCTCTGTATTCCGGCCTTGTTCTGGCATAGGTGTGCATGCTCACTTACCCCTCAGAGCAGACTGTGTTCCACATCCTTCCAATGGGTCTGTCCACCTAGATGGAAATGCATGATTCTTACCATGACTCTTTACTTCCCAAACCTCACATAGGTCTGGACTACCCATCATCACTTTCACCATAGGGCCTCGCCTTGACTGTAACCTTCCATCACCTCACTATAACATTTGTACAGGTCTCCCAGTATTGTCAAGGTCAGACAACATTCAGAGACAGAGAGATCCACAACTATGACCCCATGGTCTCTCCCATGCACATGTCTGTGCAGCAAAACTTCTGGCTTCTAACTTGCTCATCTAAGATACATATGACCCTGACATTCCACATAAGAAAGAATTTCACTGACTGAACACCAGTTGCAAATCAAATAAGTGTCTAGTTTCACCGGGCGGTGGTGGTGCACGCCTTTAATCCCAGCACTCGGGAGGCAGAGCCAGGTGGATCTCTGAGTTCAAGACCAGCCTGGGCTACCAAGTGAATTCCAGGAAAGGTGCAAAGCTACACAGAGAAACCCTGTTTCGAAAAAGCAAAAAAAAAAAAAAAAAAGTGTCTAGTTTCAAAGCATGTGCATCCTTCATGAGTCCACCTCACACCATCTTTTAACAGAGTAATGATCAAACGTCAAGTCATTTCTCACAAACATCTGTTTTTCATTTTCCATTCATTCTTGCTAGTTTCTCTGATTAAAGTACCACTTCGGAACCAATTTTTCAGTACTAGTAGAAAAGAAAATACAGTGAAATTTGAGTAAATGAAATAGATGATTTATTTTAGACGTGCATTTTCAAAGTCATCAAGACCTGGAGACATAGACACAGGATACAAATTTTCTGATGTTAGAGCAGGGAAGCTGCCTGAAGGAGTGAGGCTGGGTTACCGTGGAGTGTCTGGACAAGAGATGAGTATGCTAATCAAAGGAATCACACAACATAGTTTCAATGCCCTAAAAATATATGCTTCTCTGATTTCATCCCTCCTTCTTTAATCCTTAGCAATTGCTAATCTTGTATTTATGCTGGGAAAGACATTTAGAGGTTTTTAAGATTTCCTAATTCTGCTTGGAGGCATGTCATCTCCCCAACTAAAATGTGAGCAATGTGATGGGAAGACCCTTGGCAGATGCTTTTGTATCTGGTCCTTGGTAATGACCCATTAGTCAAAAGAGAGTATATACACATAGCCATGGGGGGCATTACACTTTAAAAGGTACTTCAACTCATGAAGCATTCCATATTTTTAGGTAACAACGAGTTCCCAAGATGAGGATGCTTGGATCTCCCAGAAAGGGGAAGTAGAGGAGATCTCCTGGTTGGACTGAGGATGGGCATGGGAACTTGAGGGATCAGGTTGGGGGGTGGGTAGGGGGGGAGAGTGCTGAGAGAGATGACTGAAAAGGGGAGCTTTATGGAGTTGGGTAGAAGCCTGAGGCAAGGAAAACTTGTACGAGTCTACAAAGATGACCCAGCTAAGACTCCTGGCAGCAGTGGATGCATAGCTTGAATTGTTGATCCCCTGTGATCAGATTGGGGACTACCCAGGTTATCAGCAGAGAGCCTTCATCCAGTAACTAATGGAGGCAGATTCAGAGACCCAAAGCCAAACATTGGGCTGAGCTCAGGGAGTCCTGCTGAGAAGCAGGGGTAGGAATTATAGGAGCCAGGGGGTTAGGGACATCACAAGAAAACCCACACAGCTAGCCTGGCTCATGGGAACTCACAGAGTCTGAACCAAAAACCAGGGAGCCTGCATGGGACCAACCTAGGCCCTCTGCATATATGTGACAGTTGTGTAGCTTTGTGGGACTCCTAGCAGTGGGAGCAGGAGCTGTCCCTGGTGCTTCGGCTGGCTCTTGGGAACCTATTCCTCATGTTGGATTGCCTTGCCCAGCCTGAATACAGGGGGAGATACTTGATCTTATGGCAAATTGATATGCCATGGTTTGCAGGGGAAGCCTGTCCCTTTCTGAGCAAATACGGAGGAGGGGTGGATTGAGGCGGGATGGAGAGGAGGTGGGAGAAGGGAGTGGGAGGGGAGGAGGCTGAGGTAGGGATGTAAAATAAATATTTTTTTTTCAAAAGGTACTTTAAGCAAAATAAATGTCACTGTTATTTGAGCGAAAGCTGGTGGTAGCCATGACTGTTTCTTTGAGATACGTTGTGGCACCATTACTACCATGGTACCCAAGGAAAGCCATGGTGCTAATTCACTCCCTTTGACCTAGGGGTTAAGTACTTTAATACTTGTTGTAGTACAATATGGAAAACAGTTATTTTAAACAACTGTAAATATTAAACAGGTCTCCTAAGACATCTCCCCACCCCCGCCCAACTAATTGCCAGTTATTCTGTTTCATTAGTAACCTTCTATTCAGTCTCACACTGGCTGGGCTTGTGCTGACCTGGGAAGAGAATGGACTCGCCAGCCTGAGGGGAAGCTGTGATTACATTTATGGGAAGATGGCATTTAGAAAACAGCTCACTGCTGCAGCAAAGAAAAACCAGCAAGAACAAAGTTTCCATATCCTCACGTGCAGAGGATTGTTAGATGGCATGAATGAACTTATAGATAACGATAGAAATCTAGGACTAAAATATAGGCACTGTCACTGTACCAGTGCGGCTGGAAGAATTGTTTCCTAGTAAACCCCTTAGCCTAGAGCAATGTCAGCCTTGTGTTCCCAGATGGCTTCCAGACCTCTGTACTCTTTCCCATCATCTGTACTCCCTGTACCCCATTTCTTTCTTTATACATTCTTAATGCGATACTAGACACTTTCTATTTTTCTCTTTCCCTGGATAAGTGGCTCAGATATTTATGTCCACTGCACCCCAAGCTTCCCCCTGGAAACTGCCAGCCTGTCTCCAATCCTCACCTGTTTCTCGCTCGGTAGCATCACCAACTTGATGCCTCAGTCAACTCTTAGCATCCTCTCCTTCTCCTTTATTCTCTAGACCAAAGTCCTCCTGAGTGTAGTTGAAGCACGTACTATTCGGACTTCACTAGGTTTGGCTGTGACTCACTGTATTTAAAAGTTCCAGACCTGGCTGCTATTGGGAACCACAGATTGCATCCTGCATACCAGTCTCCATGTTGTTCTCTACTTTTCTTCTTCTTCTTCTTCTTCTTCTTCTTCTTCTTCTTCTTCTTCTTCTTCTTCTTCTTCTTCTTCTTCTTCTTCTTCTTCTTCTTCTTGTTCTTCTTCT